ACTTTTTATCACCCAGTGGGCCATATTCAAAGACCTCACAAGAAGTGGTATCACATCAGGAAGTGATGTCACGTGACCTTTGACACCAATGAAGTTGCAGGAAGTGACAATGAAATGGGTCTGGAAATGTGGTTTAAAATCCAAAATAAAAACAATATTAAAAGCAACAAAGAAATAATACCAAACACTTGTGTGGTCATGCAGGAGACACAAGTTTCCCTACTAGCACAGAGGGACAGCAAAGTTAGGGCGCACAAGCTTCCTTCTGAAAAGCACACAGGGAGCCATGTGGCATTATGTTGGATCACCTTGGACTGCCCAGAATCAATGACTCAGTTCCCAAATACAGTTGGGGGCAAAAAGGAGGCAGCTTTTAGCACAAGTAGAAAGCAGGACTTACACTTGTCTCTCTCAAATGCAGCAAGACACTATAACTGCTCTGCCCCCAGTTTCCTTTTTGCAACCAAAAACGGCAAAGAGTCTCCCCTGTGAAAGGCAGGGACCCCCGACACACACACAGGTGCCAGGAGCCCACAGTCACCGGCCTGGCCCCAGGGGAGGTGCCGTCTTCCCGCCCCAACCCCAGCCCCGGCACGGCCTGGCCCTACCTGTGGCACCCCGGCCGGGTAGGAGGTGGCAGAGGCAGACGACGAGGGCAAGCCCGGCCGCCGCACTGCCTCCGCAGGTCCGCATCGCCACGCTGTGCTGGGCTGGAGGGAGCCGGAGCCGGAACCGGGGCTGGGGCCAGGTGACACCTCAGGGCACAGCGAGCGCAGGCTCCGCCTGAGCCCGGGGCCGCCCTGCGTGGCGCAGCCAATGCCAATAGCCCAGTGGGAGGTGGTACCTGCCCGCGCCGCTCCACCTCCACCAGCGACCCGGGGCTGGGCAGCCAAGACGGGCTGCCTCTCACCTGCGGGCGGGGGGCAGGGAGCAGTGAGTCGCTTGGGCTGGGAAGCGGTGGCTTCCCCACGTGGTGCTGGGGATGGGAGGAGGCAGGCCGGGTCTGCACTCCTCTTCCCACATGCACCGCGTTGACAACATCAAATTGAAGCTGTGCATATGGGAACCTTGTCCCTTCCCCAGACAAGGGGCGAGAATGAAAGCAAACCGTGTTTACCTTCATTTCCTGTCGCAGCACTGCGGGCCACAGAAAATGCCTTGGCAGGCTGCATAGCGGCCCGCGGGCCGTATGTTGGACAAGCCTGTATTAGATGATCAATTTTCTTTTTTCTTTTTTTACTTTGACTTGAGTCAGCTGCCTTTAGGTGGAAAGCAATGCTAATTTTGATGGATGAATCAAACAAACTATTACATTTCTTCGAGCAAAACATTTTACATTTAAATCTGATTTATTAAACAAACAAAAAAATTATCTGTAGTCAATGAACCGAGCTGATACTTTGTTGTTTCTCATGGCTATGTCCTTCAAGATTTTGGAACTAACAGCTCCTCACTTCTCAAATTGAATTTTTACTCACAGATTGGAAGAGGAAAGCAGGCTTTTGGGGTTTTCAACTCCCAAATGCTTTTGTAACTTTAAGCAAACTAGTGATTGAGCTGAAGTAAGCTGAATAAACTTAAAAGAGAAAAATATTCTGTCTGCACCTGTATAAAAGGCAAACACTGCTAAAAGATAATTTATTATAAAAAAAAAAAACCCCAAACCTGACAGTTGCAGTTGATAACTAGCAACTTCCCTCAGGTTAGTGGTCTGACTTTCTTTAAAATTGCAGGAAAAAATGCAGCCTGCTTCAGTGTTATGTTGATTAACTTAAATGATTTCAATAGATTACATTAAGTTTAGCCCTTTATAGATTTCTCAGAATTTCTCAGAATTTCATATTTAATTTTAAATAATTATTCTTTTAAAAATGTATCCACTTAAATAATATTTTCAATTTTTTTCTTTTCAAATCATTAATTTTTATCCACTCTGCTACAAAACACTTGACAATAGCTAGGGCTGCTGGTTTGCTATCATTGGTTTTACTACATTCAGTATAACTGTTTTACTATTAGCCTGTGCTTTCCTTCACTTCTGTGTTTAGCCACCTACTATCAATTGCCATTTACCCAGTGGCTGAACTTTTTAGATTCTAAAACTTTTGTGAATTTCGTGGCAAACCTTTTCTAAAACTAATTTATTTATTACTGTGCCTGGGCACAAGGGCCAGGCAGGGACAAACCTGTGTGTACCTTCTCGCACCCCACATCTCCTCAAAAGAATCTCACAGTACCCCTGGGTGCTAGGGTACCCTGGCTGAGAATCAGTGACTTAGATTGTAGGTGCTTTTACAGGAAGAACATCTTTTTAGTATGTATGCTTGCAGTGGCATAATGGGGCCCTATTTAAAAAAATTAGGTGCTGCTTGAAGTACTTTAACAGTAGTGTTAAGTTTTTCTATGGCAATTTCTTTTTACACATTTCATCCTTGTTTATAGACAGACAATGACAACAGAAGCACAAGAAAAGAAAGTATATCACTAAAATGACATATAATCTAGAAGAAGGCTTATTTACATTGCAAAGGACTACAACCCCCCCCCCCCCCCAAATCCAAACTATCCTCTCTCTCTGTCTCTCTCCTTTAGGGGTACAATATATTGAATGGTTGGTATGTGCAATTGTTTAGCAAACACTTTTATGGATACAAAATACTATTAGGAAAGCAAGATTTTTTCTTCTCAGGGATGGTTTAAATAGGAGTGTGATATGATGCTGGGTAAATGGAAGAACTTGCTTTTCTGTTCATTGTTATTCTTTCCCCACACGTAATATTATCCATTTATTTTTTAGGGTTTGATTCTAGTTGTAGAAATAAAATAGTTTCTTAAAGTCATTAAATCTTAAATTAATTACTGAAACAAACAAAAGAGAACACGCAAAGAAGTGTATCAGATATTTTAGTAGAGATTTAGCTTCATTATGTTATTATATGTCCCATTTGAAATTTGAACAGCTAGATGCTATCCAAATGCATAGTAAGATACAGAGATCATCCCCCAAAGAGTTAACAATCTGCGCATGCAAGACAGAAAAAGGGTAGAGGGATGAATTATGAACTTCCTTATTTTACAGATGTGGAACTAAAGCTGAAACACAAATATGCCTATTTTACAGATTCAGAACTGAATCACAGAGAAATTTTTTGTGGATGATTCAGACATAATAGTGATTGTCTGTCTTCTTAAAGCTAGTTTTCAAAATAATCCAAAAATTTAAAAGCCAAACTCTCTTTTGGAACAGAATTAAGAACATGCCTAACCTGAGAGACATCCAAATTTAGAAAAGTAGGAGCACAGTCAGCATAACATGTTTTTTAAAATATGAACATAAATCTCTTTTCCTGTTACTGAATAACTCCATGTAGCTATTTTTTCACAGGTGTTCTGATTCTTTGAGAATCATGATAAATGTTGGATTTTTCCAAATAATATACTTCATATACTGCATAAAGTAGACAACTGATAAAAACACATAATTCCCATAATACAATAGCTTAATTAAACTATAATAATGATCCTGTTGGTACAGAAAGCTTTGTATATTCAGTTAACATACTTCTGAGGTCAGCAATCTAAACAAAAAGTCCTCTGCAGCCAGCCTTTGATGTTATAGTCCTCTCTTCTCTTATGTATGGTGGGACTTTCTTAACAAAACATTCATGATCAATGATTCCTTCATTCTGCCATACTTGTGAGAACCCTAGCAGGACTCTCGAGGTTCAAATAGCGAAGTACATAGCTGCTACAGGTATTTATCAACCAAAGGAATTCAATTTTAACAATGTCTCTATCTCCCTACTACAACAGATGTACTATGAGACCAGAGGAATTCAAGCCTGTTTGTTACACAGCCCTGTAGAGAGGAATCCTCTTAGCCCACGTTCCAAGCAGCATATTCAGCATAAAAAGTAAGGGTATGCATACCCAAACAACTTACTGCAGGATAAAAGGAGATGGGGTTTTACTGAATGCCAGCTGCCCCATAGCATACATACTGCCTGTGTGCATGCTCTTGCTCTACGGTATGCAGAAACTAAACTGGGGTGGTTTAACCATCCATGAAAGACAGCTAAATTACTGTGCTTTAGGGAAGAATGCAAACAAGCAGTTAGACCTGAGCCACTGATGTGTGGTAAAGCCCATAATAAATGGTTCAGATGTCCATACCCTATGGGGTTTTTCTATAGCCTATGCCATTAAAAAAAAATATTAATCCATTTTCTTGATTTCCCTTCCCTTCCAAATTATGATGTGGATACAGAAAAATTGTGAAAGAAGAAGTGGAGAGCAAGTGAACAGTCAGCAACCTGCAGGTATGTAGGTGAGAAGGAGTAACAGGCATGAAGTAATTACTAAACCTGACTCCCTGGGGAAAGAACGTTGAATGCTGTGGGGCTGTGGTGACTATTAGAGGGGGAAAATAGGTCTTGATCTACGGAACAACATACACATGGAAAGTATTATTTTTTAGATATTTCTTGCAAGCCTATCTATGATATTGCATACTTTTCCTGGAAGTTATTTCCCCAACTCAGAATAAAACAGAAAGTGCAAATGGTACAAAGAAACCCGTTTTTAACCCCCCCCCAAAAAACTTAGCCTTAGTTTTTGACAACACTGGTTTGAGTAGTGTTCAAACATAAGGGGGATGCAGCAAAGTATCAGAGATACCTTGTTCATCAGGGCACCTCTTGGGGTAACAAGGCACAATGGTCACAAAGTAACAGGAAACAGATTTAGGCTAGACATCAGGAAAAACTTCACGGTAAGGTTGGCCAAAATTTGGAATAGGCTCCCAAGGGAGGTGGTGCTCTCCTTTGCCTTGGGGTCTTTAAAAGAAGGCTGGATAGGCATTTGCCTGGGGTCGTCTGAGCCCAGCACCCTTTCCTGCCCTGGCAGGGGGTCAGACTCAATGATCTGTTGAGGTCTCTTCCAACCCTAGCATCTATGAATCATTTATGATTTTTCCTATAACAGTAATTAGTACGAAGTACCTTTCCATAGCTCAGAGGCTATGTGGGGGGCCATAGGTGCAAGCATAATGCAGAGAGTGGCGAAAGCTTCCTCAAATTCCACGCTGTGGAGCATAAGGGGTTGCGAGGCTTGCTATGAAAAATGGGGAAAAAATTATAAATATAAACATTTAGAGGCAAAAAAAACAGTTTGATAAGAAAATGAGACAATGAGCACACAAATCAATGAGACTTTCTGTAAGAATAACGTTTTACAATAAATAATACAATGCACACAAAAAGCACACAAAACTGACCAAAGGCACCAGCACTATTGTGAACTAGCTAGAAACTTTGACACTGGGACTCCTTCTGTGTAGTGGTCTGCCCATACTGATTCTGGTACAATCATTTTTAAGAGGATTTTGGACACTCTGGCTGCGTCCAGTAATATCACAAATCATTTGAAAGATAAAACCCTGTTCAGTTAGTTTAAGAGCGTCACCAGGGCATGTATTTTAATTAGAATAGGTCCAAAAAAGGTCTAGATAAATGTAGGCAAAGATTCAAAGCAATACAAGAGTGATGTAAGACTGCAAAGCACAGAAATCCTTTGATGGCTCATGCTTATGTTGTTTTCCTAAGTTCTTATAGAAGTGGCAGACTGACAATATGTGCACTGAATTCCTATTTATTATTTACCATTAAAAGAGGTACAAGCACAGATGGAAGCTGTACAAACTTTCCCCTATTCAGCCTCAGCCAGCTTCAACCTTGACCTGAACAAAAACCATCTCCACCAGGAAGGACAGTTTTGATTCTGTGCATATTCAGTTTTTTTGTCTCTCTGATGAAAGAGCAAAGAAAACTGCCAGCAAGTGTCAACTGTGATAATTATTTCATGGATGTGATGATCACTAGTTCCTGTCTCCAAGAAAATAGACCAAGACCAACAATTCGTTTGACAGAGGCCACAGAACAGCTGTCCTACTGCAACTTCTTACAGCTGCTACCAGTCAGGTTTGAGCAAGTAAGTTTGATGAAATAAAAACTGATCTCAGCTTTTTGCAAAGTTGAAATAAGCTTTAGCAATTTCTTTTTCTCCTTCTAAATTTAATTTTCACTCATGTCCACATTTCCTGATTTCAGCTCTGGATGAAAGAGGAAGTGCCAAATGTAAAAGGTACCCAGCTTTAGTTCCTGAGCAGACTATTTTGAGCAGCATTCAAACATTTAGATGTTGTATGAACTCAAAATTTAAGGCACTGGTTTCAATCCTTTAGACTCAAGCACTGCTTGTTAGACTATGAAAAAATAATGGAGTGATTCTATTGCAAAAAACTCAGAAAGACTACAACAGGTCAGAATGCTTTTGACACTGGAATCCTATTTTAAATCTGTAGATTTATCTTGTGAATCATATGCAGGTGCTTGCACACCTAACAGTCCTAATACACCCTGGCACCCTGTGGTGCCCTTAAAAGGTTCTAAAAGCATCCGGGTTGAGAATCACTGTTTTAAAGTTTACTCATCTCTTCTGTGAGCCCACACTGTATGGGAATCAGTAATCTGAAAATAAAGAACTGTGTATCACATTTCCAGTCCCACAAACCATGCAGTCTCTAGGGCTGTTGTTATTTCAGTACAGCATTTTTAAGTGACTACATGGATGCGTGTTAAGGTTTGTGAGTTTAGTCAAGAAGTGCTTTCAGATCACCAGCTAAATATCTAATTCTAGTCACAGAGACAAACAGCTAATTTGACTTCTGATTTAGGTCACAATGTAGGACACTGCCAAAATATACATAAGACTAACGATCCAAACAAGACAAACAGAAATAAGAACAGCTACATCTGCCCCATGCCACCTGGATGATCCACATGACAGTCCAAATTACAAGTGCCAAACTGAAATTATTTTGTAGAAAAAAGGAATTTCTAAGCTTTGTTTACATCAACTGGTATTGCAGTGATTAATGTTTTCACAGAGGAATTCAAAATCTCAGTGCTTTTGCTCTGGTCAATAACAACACTCTTCCTT